TTCAACAATGTAAATACCATCAGAAAAAATCAACTCTGATTACCTGTTGATCTAATCATTGGCTAAATGCAATATCTTAGTTTTGAGCCAGGCAGCATATTCAAAAGCGCCTGAAGTGCACATCAGTGCAAGGCATTCGTTAAGGTCTCAAAGTTTATGAGTTATGTGCCCCTTGTGAAGGCATACTTCTTAACTTGAGCTCCTTAGTCTTGTGCTCTTTGGCCTCAGCTTATTAAACTGGTTTTTTATTATACCCTTAAAAGGTTTATTCAGATTTTCCTAAACACGCTCCAACCCCAAAAAATAAAAATAAAATAAAATAAACAGAATAAACAGAGAGCTCATGCATGCCCAAGTCCTGTACACGAGCAAATTAGGAGCACCTCCCACCCACCCTGAGAAAATGTTATTGCAGTTTTCAGCAACTATTGATGTGTGACAGGCTACCAGTTTTAAGGGACTGCAACATGTGACTTTCTTCTGCCTTTTCTTTTATATATATTTTTTGCTGCTATGTGTTTCTATTTTCTCCCTTTTAAAGCCAAACCTAATTCTTTTTGTTTATATTGGCTGAGTTTTTCTTTCATATATAGTTTTTGTTGCCCATGACATATTTTTAATATTACTGATTACTCTTCACAGCTACCAAGAACAGCCCAATAATTTGTTCTCACTTCTCAGCCTATTTAATATTCACCATCCAATAATAGATAAAAATCTAAGAGAGAGGAATTGACCTGAAATAATGAACTTCATCTTTGGTTTCCATAAGTTCCATGGACAAGGAACCATCCCAACGCGGCCAACGTTCAGATGGAGAAACAAGAATGGTCCTCCTGTGGTTATGACTCCCACGTCTACCAACATGCGCACTGCTTGAACTTCCAGAATGATGACTTCTTTCAAATGAATTCACTACCTTAGACCCAAAGATTCTTCGGAGCTCATTTTCTGGCCTGAGAAATTTAGGATCAATTTGTAGTATAGAGGATTTGCAGTGCTTTGCCCTTATGTCATCATTATTAACTTTTGCTGACTTGTCTTTTGCAAGATAAGATGTGATCTGTTCATTACCATAAGAGCTAGCTCCCAAAGACAAATTTTCTAACATCAGACCAGAAGATATTTCATCATCTTCGGCACTAGCAGACAAATCATCCTTGATTTTCTTCTTTTTGTTTTTCTTTTTCTTCTTCTTCGTTTTGACATCAGATGTGGAAACATTGTTAATGGTAGCTTTTAACATAGAGGGATGCTTGCCATCAATATTTCCCATTGAAGACTCATTGGTAGAATTGTCTTTCTCCTGCAGTCAATCATCCATTACAGATATCAACAGCAGTTCAGATTATTTTTTTTTTTCTTTCTTTCTTTTTTTTTTTTTTTTTTTAAAAAAAAAAATATAGGTAAACAGCAGTTCAGATTTCATATTGCTATATCATATCACCAACAACTCCTTGTGAAATTATATATTTTTTCTTGTTGCCATGTAATAAACTAGTAACAAAATGGGACAACATCTCTAATAGCTTAAAATTCTAGAAGCAACTGAAAATTCTTAGAGGTAAATACAAATTCTTACAGATAAATAGATTAGCATTTGCACTCGATAATTTTGCATTGTTGTAAAAATACATTACAGGTGGATTTAAAACCAGTAGTAATGCTTTGTATACTCAACCCTTGTTTGATACCCATTTTTTTCAAAATACATTTTTCTCTCTCTTCTTTTCAATCACACATTCTTCAATAAAATAATATTACACACAAATTCAAAAGTTTTCTTTATTTTTTAACCACACATTCTCCATCAATCTACCATTCTGGAATGCATTCTTAATATAAAAATGGGAAACAAACAAGCTCTCAGTATGGAGCTTAGAACTTTAGAGCACCCACGTCCTATAGCATCTTAAGAAGTCAAATCAGTCTCCTGGAAGGCATCACAGAGCCTTCTTCCCTCTTTCTAATTAAGAAGTCCCCACTCCCCAGTACCCACCTCTTACAGTTACATCTTGATCTCACTTCCAACTACAGAAGTCACAATTCCAGAATATTACGTATACTAAAGAGCCTCTAAATTCAGAGAAAGGTGCCGTATTAGGACCAAATCAAAATATTATTTTTCATCAAGTAGTAAGATAAATGTATTTTGTCTCCAGCATTATTGCATGTAGCTCAGAATGATAATATTTCACAGATGCACATTTAGAGTATACTATAAAATTGATTGCAAGCAGAAGTCAGAGACCTTTCATGACGCATGGGAGATCATGTTAGCATTAGACATTTGATTAGTAAAATTTACATTATACAGTAATCAAAACCAATAGAAAGGCACCACTGCAAATTGAAAATTGGAGGGTTCCTGGTGAAATGCTTGAACAAGTTCCTCTACCGTTGGTTATGCCAGTTAGTGATGATGCTAAGTACAAAAACGAAGCTGACCAACACAAGAGGAACACGGAACGTAAAATTGGTGGCCAAGTGAATGTGCATCTTCAAAGGGTCTTACAAGAAAAGTTGGGTGTTCGCACACACTGAAGGCTCTGTTAGATGAAGTGCTCACTAATTTGATCTTCCAGCAGAATAAAGAATACACAAATATGCAATATTTTCTGGTATCCTGGACCTAACAAACAGAACTTAATATATAGCAGGACTTGATTACTAACAATATTATTCCAGTAGACAAATATCTTATTGAATAACCAAGGTCTGACAGGAAAATTTAATGTATCCCCCCTCATTATTTAAAACTTAAATTCACTTAATTATTACAGACATAAGAAACATTTTTCAAGATTACTTGAAATGCTTTCTTAGTTGACAACAGCAACATCACCGATTCCGATTACAAAAGAACAACAACAGCGAGAAAAGAAACCCTCGAATACACATCCACACAGATACACATAACGATTTTCCAACAAAAAAGAATAAAAAAAGAGACCTGATCAGAATCGGGGTCGACGACGTCGTAGTCGTCGTTATTGTCGTCAAGAAGATCGAATGGATTTTTGGGAGGGGTTGAGGAGTCAGGGGATTCAGACTCGTGGCCATTGTAGAGCTCCTCCTCCTGCTGTCGCAGTGCAGCTTCTTGTTCTTTCAGAACCTTTTTCAGTAGTCGTGCCGACATAATCACGTAACTCCGAGCTCTATACCAATTCCAGTGCGGCAACTCTGCCTCCAAGAAAGTATTTTATTTTATTTTTCGCGTCTTAAATTTATGTTCAATTTAAGCTTAGCCAAACATATATACGAATATTTGAGACATAAAGGAAGAACCTATTGAACCATGAAGCCTATACTAATAGGGCCCAGTTCTCCAATGTTGGGCTTTTATGCCAAACCCACTCAAACAATTTCTTTGCCTTGTTCAAGCCCTATTTTTTCAAAAATTCATGCATATTTTCAAATAAAATAATTTTATACATAAATTGAAAAAAAAAATCCTACTTTTTAGTCACATATTTTTCAAAAAACCTCTATTCAAAAATACATTTGTTCTTCAAAATGGAGCCCAAACTAGGGCAATTTTCATTTTTTCTAGATTAATATACTAATTATGAAACAAAAATAAAATAGGTGATTATATTGAGGCCCCGTTTGATTTCTATGTTTCTCAAAAAATATTTTTCGCTCTTTTCTTTTCAACCACATATTTTTCATTAAAATAATATTACACATAAATCAAAAACTTTTCGTCCGCACATTCTCTATCAATCTACTATTGTAAAATTCATTTTTCCATAAAAATGAGTGCTAAATACCTTCTGACATCATAAATTTTTATTTATTATGCTGCAATTAAGTTCATCAATATTTATTCATTGTAGCAATTATTTTCTTAACTTTTTCTGTCGAAATCTTATTTCAATTTTCCATTAATTAGTATGTTCCGTTATTGACAATTATTTATATCAAAATATTAGCCCCTCTTTAGCCCCCATTATGTGGAAAAATTAATGGGTGGAATATTATTTTTTTGAAAAATGAATGGTTGAAAAGAAAAAAAATTTTCGATTTACGTGTAATATTATTTTATGAAAAATTATGTGGTTGAAAATAAGAATGATAAAAGTGAAATGTAATGTAATGAAAATTAATGGGGCTCAAACGGGGGTTTAATATATTCACGCTTTGAAATATGTGAAAACTATTTTTTTGAACTTTTATTTATTTATTTTTAAAAATATAACCAAAAAAAAAGTTATCTACGCCATTTCGAAGTGTCAAGAAAAATCTTGAGAGGCACAAACGCTATAATGAGTAAAGATTAAGAATCTTAAATACAGTTAAAATGCAGTGTAAGAAATAAAAATTGCTATGTGAATATAATTACTCAGACAAAATTGCTTGGGTCACGTGAGGTTCCTTGTTAGGCCGTCATCAACCTTGCCCATGTTTGATATAGATTAAAATTTAAATTTTACTATAAATCAAAAATTAATAATTAATTTTAACCACATATTTCATTGATCCCATGACTTTTTAACAACACTTTTCTTTTGTTTGAACTCTATTTTTCTACAATTAATCTAGTTGTATAAAAACAAGTTGACAAAAAGGTTGACAAAACAAGTATTGGCAAAATTTTGATTTCAAATAATTTTAAAAAGTGTTTTAAAAATGATTGGTGTAAATATTTGTTTGTAAATTAACTTTGTTAATTAATTTTGTACAAGCAATCTCATTTTTCTAACAATTAAACTACTTGTACAAGGTAGTTTGACAAAAATGGTTAACAAAGCGCGTGTTGGCAAAATCAAGACAAATAAATTTTGTTGCTTTTAAAAACTATTTTTGTGAATTAAGTGATCTTAATTTTACCAATAATCACTTTGTCAACTTTTATTTGTAAACCTACTTTGTAAGTATATCATATCTTTTCTCTAAATACCATGACGTTTTGGACACCGTAGGAAAATTCTAGAAACGACAAACAGCCAGGCCGGCCAGTCCTATCCTCATCATTTGTCAGTAGTCACATATGGGGAGAATGACATTGGAAACGTACTCCACACACTCAGTAATCACCGACAAAAGGTTCTCCGTATGAACAAGGCAATGTGTGCGTCACGGGACCTGATCTCAATTTGGCCGTGCTTATAAGCACCATTTTGAAATCTCAAAATTCTCCATGGCGGCGAAGAATATGAGAAACATAAGGATTTCGTGTATAATCTGGCTTGCGTTTTGCTGGTTGGTTGAGTGTGACGACCGACGGCAACCACTGAGGTTCGGTGGGAAAACGGGGGAGTTTAGGATTCTGCAAGTGGCGGATATGCACTATGCCGACGGTTGGAAAACTCCTTGCGAGGATGTGTTTCCCCAGCAGATGCCCTCCTGCTCCGATCTCAACACCACTGCCTTCATTCGCCGTCTCATTCTTGCCGAGAGACCCGACCTCATTGTTTTCACTGGTAACTCCTATTCCCTATTACTTCACTTTCTTACTTGTTAAGGATGCTGCTAGTATTGATTTTGTTAATCGTTAGGGTCCATCTGCAAGATGGTGTCTGTTTGAGAGAGTACACTAATTTGGGAATCCGGATGCTCATCTGAGCATAATTTGATCTTTCTCACAGTCAGTCACATAGTGAAATTGAATTGCAGGTGATAATATTTTCGGCTTTGATGCCTCTAACCCGGAAACATCAATGAATGCTGCATTTGCCCCGGCAATGTTATCAAATATACCATGGGCTGCTGTTCTGGGAAATCATGATCAAGAATCTACTTTATCAAGGGAAGGTGTGATGAAATTTATTGTTAAATTGAAAAACACTTTGTCTCTGTTAAACCCTCCTGAAGCTCACGTTATCGATGGATTTGGGAATTACAATTTGGAAGTCCACGGAGTTAAAGATTCTAGTTTAGTTAATAAATCTCTTCTCAATCTCTACTTTCTAGACAGTGGTGATTACTCTACAATTCCCTCCATCCCTGGCTACGGCTGGATCAAACCTTCTCAGCAGTTCTGGTTTCAACGAACGTCCCTCAAGCTTAAGGTAGTTAAGCTGCAAAAATTTCTGACTCGAGACTTTTGTTTGGTTTATGATTAATTTACAAATCCTTCAAACAAAGGAACCTTTATGATTCACTTTTGAGGACTTAGGAATACTGCCTAATGATGGAGATTCTAATGGATGTTATGATGAAGATTTGTCAGTATCAGCACTTACTTTAGAAAAAGAAATTAGGATTTATTAAGGGATTATATTTTATTTTATTTTATCCTTTCCGGAGTCATTAAGTTAGATTAAATAATTCTCCATCTTGTTAGTGTGGTATCTTTCTCTTTAATTTTTTATTTTTTATTTTTTATTTTTTATTTTTTGGTTGCGAGAGATAGTAAAGCATAAGCTAGACTTGGCTGTTTCAACAGACTGACTATTGAATTATATCAAAGTGATTATTTAGATATTAAAACTTTGCCCTCCAATTCTTGTCTTCTTGTTTCACCCCACTTTCTCTTTCTTTTGAGCTTCTGTTTATTCTCTATTATTCGGTTTCTATATGTTGTGCTGCATAACCAAGGCTGCTTTACATCTTGATTGATTGCAATTCCCATTATTTTCTCCTGAAGAAATTTGTTTTTTTAATTGTTTGGTTTACGAAGGCATTGCAATGTTGGATATTTTCCTCATTGTCCAGCAACTGAATGTTTTTCAAGAACAGTCTCATTTAACTTAAACCGTCTATCTTGTACAACCCTAGAAGAAAAATGTACACCACTGTACTAAAGTGCATCAACTAGTTTATTTCATGATTTTATAATAATCTTGCAAGAGAGCAAATCCATTTCCCATGATTATGGTTTCTTACAAGATTTAGTTTCGTCCAAGGCTTTGGAGTATCAATATAAGAGAAAGGAGATAATGATTCTAATAGCACAAAGTATGAACAATAGCATAGATATCTTTCATCATATATTGAATACTTTTGGGTTGCTTCATTGACCTTCTCACCAAATTAAGACTTTAGTATATACTTTATTGCTTGAAACACCACAAATCCCAATATTAGATGCATCACTTGCAACTTTAAACATTTTTGATAAATTCTGGTAGTTGGAGAGCTGCTTCAGTTGATAGTGCTGCATTAATTATAAAGTTTTTAATGATGTGTTTTTCCACAGGAATTCCCATAGAAACCTGTATTCTTCTATTGTGTTGGGGATTGGCCATGCTATAATGGCTTAGACATCTCCAGATCTAGTTCAGTCCCTTTACATGAATAGACAAAGCGCGATGCAAAAATTGGATTTTTGAATGAATATTTCTTTGTGTTACTGTATATTCTTTTGACTGATAACTACTTTTAAAATCCATCTTTGAAAATGTAAAAGATTGGGCCTTCATATCTTAATATATCGTCCAATCAAGGAAATAGAGGTTGATATTTGATGGCTATCTTGTTAATGGCGCTATAATCAGGCCTCGTACCTTGTTTCTTCGGGGTTAGCAATTTTTGGCCAACACAAGGGCTTACTGAGTCCCTTAAGAGCATCTCATTAAACAACCCTTTTAGCTCTGATATTAGGTAGTTGTGAAAATCTGATACTAGCTGATTGATGATCCATATTCTGCATTAGAGCAGTTCAGTTGGTTTTTTATAGAGCCACAATGGATAAGAGTTCCAGCAACTTAGCAATTCATGTAGGTTTATATTTGACAATTTGAAAATAACATGTAGGATAATAATCGACACTTGGAAAGGATAACAAATTGACCCACTGTTGGCACCCCATTTTTCAAAACTCATTTTTCAACACAACTTTTATCAATTTTTCATCTACACATTTTATCAATTTTTATAAAAATCTACTAAGAATGTGATTTTTGTATAAATCAAGCAGAGACTAAATACTCCTCAAGGGATTTACGACAAAGACTTTTCCAGATATTAAGTTCCATTTTATGCTTTCAATAAGTCCTTATTGGCAGCTGCCATTGGTTTCCAACACTTGATCATATGGCTTTTAGATTGTCTTATGCTAAGCTCATGTTTGGCTATTGTTAATAAACTGTTTATGGTAAAACCAATTTTTATCCACATATTTCGTGGGACTTACAAGTGCTATCTCATTTCTATCTATTTATAATTTAAACCATTTATAAACACATGCTCTAAGAGTTGTGGATTTTCTTTTCTTAATTCATTGATATATTAATTGCAGAGGAGTTACATGAAGAAACCAGAGCCTCAAAAGGCTCCTGCTCCAGGGCTTGTGTACTTTCACATTCCATTGCCTGAATATGCAAGCTTTGATTCGTCAAACTTCACAGGTGTGAAACAGGAAGGCATTAGTTCAGCATCTATTAACTCTGGCTTCTTTACGACCATGGTAGAGGCAGGGGATGTGAAGGCTGCTTTCACAGGCCATGATCACCTCAATGACTTCTGTGGTGAGTTAACGGGTATACATCTATGTTATGCTGGAGGTTTTGGATATCATGCATATGGGAAAGCTGGATGGGCGAGGAGGGCGAGGATGGTGGTAGCATCGTTGGAGAAAACAGAGAAAGAAGCATGGGGAACAGTCAAGTCTATCAAAACGTGGAAGCGTTTAGATGATGATCACCTCACTGCTATTGATAGTCAGGTGCTCTGGAGTAAGAGATCCAACAGTAAGCTTCTGATACATTGACTATGCATTCTTTTTTTGTTTTACTTCATTCTCTGACTGAATATCTGGTTCTTACGTATTTTGGTATCCCTTATCTGTACACTTTGGGACATTTAGCCCGTGTTTGATTTGGACAAAAATTATGATAGGTGAAATCTGTGGTTAAAAAGTTGATAAAAGTTGTAGGTCTTTTTGTTGAAAATGAGTTTCAGGAAATGGTGGTCAAACAGGGCTTAATTCCATTGGAAATGGTAGGAGCGCGAGAGGGGTTAAAAAGACCCCGTAGTCCAGACTCTGCTATAAAAAGTGAGCAGCTTCATCTATAAGTCTTGAGTGGAACTGTTGTTGGTGCTCTATTTCTTATCTTCCTCCTATTGTTGAGATACCCTCTTTCCCTCCTGCCTTTCTATTTAGGAAGTGGAAGTCATTGCCCAAGTGAGTGAGGCTGGTTTAGTAATACCAAACTTTGAACTTGAACCGAGAATAAAGCAACCAAGCTGATTGACTTCCCTTTCTTCACGAATCCGTATTAGCGAAATCCAATCTTTTCTGGGCGAGGAATTGCACATAGTCACTATTTGGTTAAGCTAGAAATCTTATTAAAATTTAAGTCAAAGTCAATAACTAATTACCCATTTTATGGGACCCACAGTTTTTTTTACCTATCCACTATCAAAGTCAAAGTTGTTTTCCTCTCAGCCCTCATAAAACTTGCTTCTTTTACCTGTTAATTGATCTGTAAGTTAATAATTAATAAATATAATTAAAGGCAAATATGCTGCCTCTGGAGATGCAAGACATATGCTGACAGGGAAAAAAAAAAAAAAAAGAAAAAAAAAAAGAGGCAAATTTGGGTATTTTAAGTATGAATGGTAATTTTTAATTCTAACATGTGCAGTACGTTTTGTCCATTAGATGAGATTTCCATCAAGGATATTTTTGCTGTTTGAGTTTCATTGGGAGTTCTTAGCGATTTAGGTTAGTTTTATATTAGTAGTTTCTCATTCAAAGTCCCTGTAGGAGTCTTCAAGTCTATAAATATTTATGGATATCTTTATTTACATGAAGTGATCATTACGAATGTTTGAGATTGTGTTTTGCATTTTTGCCCAACCTGCAAGGATAAAGCGTTCTCTACTTTCTTCAATTCTTCCTCTCTTTGTACCTTTCTATTCTCTCTGCTTTCAAAGCTCCTTCACATCTTGTGATCAGATTTGAATTTTTTCCTTTAAACCATGTCTATAAATTTTAATCAAATCTATTTTTTATCTGTTTATTTTTTAGTTTTTATTTTTTATGTTTTGCTTAAATTTCATCTATCAATCTAAATTCAAGATAAAGGAGCTGTTCCACATCACCTGGTTTTTGTCATAGCTATAGGTGACACACTTTGGGTCATACAGGATACCTGCCTTTCAGAGTCCCTTGATGGAATTGTCAGATTCCAAAAATCAGCCAAAAGTGGTGTACTCTCAAGACTTTTATGCCCTATCTTTTTTTGAACTTCTCGTCACTTAAACTAATCAATCTCTGTTTGCGATTTATAGCAATTTGGTTGCCTATTCATATAAACAGTTATTAATACCATAAAACTACCAGTTCTTAGTGTAATGAGCTATTAATGTTTTGTATTACTGATTAATTTACCGACACTGTTTCTCCACTTCACTTTTTCTGCAAATATTTGTGGGTAGGTGAAATTGCTGGTATTTTTGATTGGTTGTTACATAGTTCACATTTTCTAGTGTCAAAGAACAACATATTTGCTAGGATTGAACGACGAAACCGTCGAACTACAAAACCGAACCGAAACCAATTTTTCTTAAACTGTTGGATTTGATCCACGTGGATCCGTCAATATTTTGGCTTTGAACTATACCAAACTACTTTGAAGTAGTTTAGTTTAGATTTCAATCTTTGCAAACCATTTACTAAGAAGAAAATCTGAAAATAAATTCATTTAAATTTTATGCAACTCAATTAAAGTTAAACACATCCCAGTTAAAAAGTTACATCCATAATACATTACCCAATTATATTCAATGCCTAAATAGATCACAATAATTCATCCTTATTAATTACTTAACTCGTACACAAATACACATCAGTCATCACAATTATAATGCAAAACCCTCAAGTTGTGTGAAGTATTGAACAACTGTTGTTGAACTATATTTATCGACCGTCCATACAATTGAGTGGACAATTAAATCTAAAATTTAATTTAAACTCACAATTTTGTTTTCATCTACTAATAATTTGCTTGAATTTCATCCAAATTTTCTTATTTTTGGTAATTATTTGCTATATTTTACTGGAGTTGCGTTGTAATGTTCTAATTTGTAGTGGGCTCTTTTAAATTTTTAGCGAAGAGCCTTTTTTGTTTATTTGCGTTTCAACTTCCGAGTCAAGTCACTCAATTAATTATTTACTTTTTAACGTATTTTTTAGATTTTGCTGTTAAGTTTTAGAATCTAGCAATTGGTTCGATGGATTACTTAATTGGTCATTTCAAAGATTTGACTAATGAACATTTCGACATATTACTTTGATGAAAATTGAATGCAAATAAATAAAAGATTGTCCCCCTAAATTGCTAAAAATATGCTAGCTATTCAAATATTCATAATGATTCTGTGTCTATATTCCCGACTAGTAGTTTGATTCTTGATTCCTTTAGGAGTTTGTTGAGTACAATCATGTTGTTGCATTATAATTATAAAACTTTGGTTTGTAATATTTTAATGATACTATTTTTGTTTTACCATGAAATTTTCAACTAACATTTATCATTTAACTTTTTTAATTTTTTTTTTTTTTTTTTTTTTTTTTAATATATATTTGGCGAGGGGGGGGTGGGGTTAAACCGTGGTTTATTGGCTTGGTTTAGAACTTGAAATGGCTTGGTTTGGTTTGGCTTGGAATATTTTCAAACCGCTTTAAGGTTTTGGGTTTGAAAAATTGTCACAAATTGCCCAAATCGAATCGTGTTCATCCTTATTATTTGCCGTGACTGCATATTTTATGATGTTTAATTTGTTAAGTCTGATATTCTTGTGCAAGTTCTTTAATTTTTTATTCTTTAACTTGCTTCATGCAGGTGGTCGTAGAAAGAAGCGGATTGGCCGCCTATGATAGTGAAAATTAATATTGCAACAAGATTGACATGGACAAAAATGGCAATAGAAGAAGCTTATGTACAACAACTGTATTACGTTTAGTTTTTGTAATATTCCATGAAGTTTTCATGGATTATTGCATATAAGGTGAGTTCAACCTCAACGCTGTGGAACAGACGTTAAAAAATATAGTAAATTAAATTTTATGAATATTCATATATTTCAGTGATCGAAAGGGAAGTTATAATTTGTATTGAAGGATATGTGGAATGGCCTAATATCAGTTACTGAGCTAATATGTGTGTTCAAAATGCGAAATACAATTATCAGTTATAGATTACAATTCCAGATTTTCTTGTGAATATTACTGTCAATACCTATAGATATGAATGCAACTTAGCTATAAATTATCGGTTATAGATTACAACGATTCAACGCTGCTCCTCGTCCTGTTTGCCTTTGGACCTCCTTACTGGTAGGACTTTTCCTCTCTAGTATCGTGTGGATTTTGTCTAGGTTCACTTCAATGTCTCTCCGAGTAATAAAAAAACCTAAGAAAACACATTTTCATGGGTTGAACCTCAACATTTTCTATCAGGTGATGTTGAACAGTTTTTGCAAATATGTCACGTGATTGTTAGCCTTGGCACTTTTGACGACCATGTCATCAACAAAGGGGCATTAAAGTGAACCCAGACAAAAGTCACGCGATACTAGAGATGAAAGGTCCCACCAATAAGAAAGAGGTCCAAAGGCTAATGGGATGGGTGGTAGCATTGAATTGTTTCATGAGTCAGGTGGGAGATAAAATGCTACAACTTCAAAGCCATTGGGGGTTCTACTAATTTTGAGTAGGCTCAGGAGTGCGAAGAGTCACTTAAGTCCTTGAAGAGATCACTATAGGAACATCCAATTTTAACTAATCCATACCTTGGTGACGTGTTACGTCTCTACTTGGTAGTTTCACTACAGGTAGTCAGTGCGGTGTTGGTAAAAAAAATTCTCAAAGGCACAGAAACTAGTTTATTATATCAACCAAGTGCTGAAGGGTGCAAAGAAAAAATACAACCTGACCAAGCAACTGGTATTCACATTGATCGTCGCAGTTAGAAAATTTAGGTCATACTTTCAATCTCACATGGTACAGGTAATGACCGATCAGCCTATCAAGCAGATACTACATCAATCAAAAACTTCAGAGAGGCTGTTGAAATGGGCGATCGAGTGAGTTTGAAATAGAATTCAAGCCAATGACAGCTATCAAAGCACAGACTCTAACAGTCTTCATCGTCGAGTTTGCCACCCCGCCTAAGCAGTCGGTGGGACAAAAGGCAAATTGAAAAATTTTTGTGAACAGATCCTCGAACGATGAGGAATCAAGAGCGGTGATCATAATGATCGGGCCGGACTCTGAAGATGAATGTGAGGGGTTAATTTTTAAGTTCAAAAATGAAGCTTCACGAGCAAGTGTGTTGTATGGGACCCCTATTTCGTGTTTGGAAGGCCAATAATGTTAAAGGTTTTTCCCCATTGCTTTGAATTTGATGATGATGAAGGTATTAGTACTATGCCGATGTAGATAAAATTACCGAGGTTACCGCTTGATTGTTGGAATAAGTTGTCTAAAATTGCTTCGAAGGTCATTTCCAATCCCATACCAAAATTTGCACTATTTTGCACCAAACTAAAAATCATCTCCAACCATTACATCAAAACTTACACTAAATGATCAGTGTTTAATTATTTTTCTTCTTTTTTTTTTATTCTAGATAATTAATTTATTCGAAAAATTATTTATAAATACATAAATTAATAAATAAATAATTATGATAAATTAACGAAAATAATAATAATAATAATTATTATTATTATTATTATTATTTTTTTTTTTTATTATTATAACAATATTATTATTATTAATAAAAATAATGAAAATTATTTTATTAAAAAAATATCACACAAATGACCCAAATACCTTCCATTAATTACTTTGACAAATGAAAAAAAAAGGACAAATATGATTTTGCACCAAAATGGTGCAAACTTTGGTGCCACATTGGAGAGCTTTTATATCAAATTTTGGTGAAATTTGGTATTCTGATACATCCATTGGAGATGGCTTAAGGTTGGTAATCCTATATCCATGGATGAGCTCACCAATACCAATGAGAGATTATTATATGCTCGGGTTCTTCTCGAGATAGATGCTTCTAAGGAATTCGTGTGTACCATTCAAATGAATTTGCCTGTCAGGAAATTGAGAATTCAACATGTAGTGTATGAGTATGAGCCTAAATTTTGTGAAAACTGTAAGATGTTTGGGCACACCATAGCTGTGCGCACATATAAAATTCAGGCCAACAAGCAAAAGAAGGTTGTGGATGCTACATGCAATCAGGTTTCGGGTGGAAAACAAATTCAGGTTACTGGGGACATGTCTTGTGTATGCCAACTCGACTGAACAGATTACAGAAAATAGCTCGGTTCAGGTACAAACTGCTGGACAGCATGCGGGGGATGGACTGGGTTAGGTTAGTGCTGTTGGACAGCTCACCGAGGATAGATTGGATCAGGCAGAATAGGATGTTAGACGCTACTCTGATTCGGCCCTAAAAGAGCAGGATGGTATTGAACATCAAGGGCTACATAAGGTCCTAGATGAAGCTCCTTTCACTCAGGTTTTGCACAGGAAAAAGAGAGCAAAGCATGGGAGAGCAAAGCATGGGAAAAGTAGTGGAAGAATTACTCTAATTCCAGTGCTTGACAATGGAAATAACGAGTCAACTTTGTCAGGACAGATTCTCTTGGAGTTACATCTAAAACAACTAGTAATGAAAAGCTTAAAGTGAAGTTAGAGGAGCAAAGAAAAGTAATTGCCGCTAAGGATAAGCAGCAGTGGCAGATTCAGCTGGTGGCCGCCCTAGCTGGATTCGTTGGAACCTCCAGTGCCGCGCCGGCTATAATGAATCGGTGAAGGTGATGACAGATTTCCTGCTTGCCGGCCTGGGTGATTCTGTTGGGCCTTTTTTTTTTTTTTTTTTTTTTTTTTTTTTTTTTTTTTTAATTAGGCTGGCTCAAATTATAAAGCCCAAATCACCCATAGTTAAAAAATCATATTACTTACATGTTCACCACGACCACTACCAGAGTCCAGAGGCAGAATAGAAGTCCAGTCCGCACTACACATTCCGCAGTCGTCCAGATTTCAGGTTGCCCCTTTCCCGCCCCAATTCTTGATTTCCTTCCGTCAAACCCTTCTTGAGTTTTTCCCCCACTGGCCACTGGTACGAACTGTGAATTTGAATTGTTTATTGTTTATGTTTAATTATTGCACGAATTCTGAACAATTGAACGGTGAACCCACTTCTTGAGTTTTTCCTGGCAATGGCATGTTTATCGTTTATGTTTAATTATTGGGCTTTTTTTATTTTTTTTTTTGAGTAATTTGTTATGCTCTGCACCTCTGCCTCTGTTTGATTTGTATTGATTTTTAGGGTTTTGAATTGCTTCAGCTTCGAGGCTTACAGCTTACTTATTGTTTGGGGATTTTGTTGAAATTGGTTTTATTGTGATGTTTTAAGTTTTTATGAATTGGTTTTACTGTGATTTAAGTTTTTATGAAGTGTTTATGACTTTTAATAAATGGTGGAACTAGAAAGTAATAGGAGAAACGGGTTTGATAACGAAAGTTTCTAACTTTACACCGAACCTATGGAGCTAATTGAATTGTTAATTTTTAATATTATTTAATCAAATTTTAATAAACGATCGCTCGCTGACCGGATCGGGCTTTTACGATCATTGATTGTCGACAGTTAACGGTCAAAGTCTACCTCTGCCCTAACTGAATGTTGATGCTAGATTCACCCCTGATAAGAAGAAGGGAATTCCCTTTGCTTCATTGTTGTGGAACCTCTCTTCAAAGATCTTCAAATCAGTGATTTTCGGACTCAATCCAAACGTACATTTCTCTATCAACAACCAATCCAACCAACTCCAAACCACAACCAATATAATTCACCTCGGTTGCTATTCAATCTTACCCACCTAGGATAAGAAAAAGTGATGATTTGTGGCCACAAAATCTAGGAGAGGACACCACAAAGGTATATCATGAAAGAACCAACAATTACACAAAGTAAACAAGCGTTTTGGACACTTCTAGAGGCTGTTTTTCACACCAAATGGAGCAACCGGGATTCCTCTATTTTTCTCTCGAAACCACAATCATACAAGAAATGGGCTAGTGTTATAGCCTTATATATACTCTAGGGTTAGGTTTTAAGTCGGACCTTTAAAAGGTTTAAACAATCCAAAATTCAAGTCATCCTAGAGGGAAAACAATTGGACCGAGTGTAGCTCATGGACTTGATTGTTGGACTTATTTCATTCATCAACGTATGCCTATAAAATAATATTAACCCACGTTAACATCATAGTCGGGAATTTATTGGGTATCAAAAATCAAACAAATCTCCACCTTGATGCCTAATAAATCTTCAAGCAATCAAAATACACAATTAGCACTTGCGTAATCAAAATAGCCAATAAAATTGGATCACAGACCTTGCCTCATGTTTCCAACCTGAAACACATACCCTACCTACTCCAAGTACTCACCTAGACTAAGGTCAAGAACACCAAAGTAGAAACAAATATTGAACAGTAAACAATCAAGAGCAAATACACATGCAATGATGATGTATTATAGGATATCACACATAAGTCTTTTCAAAAACACATTCACATAAAACCATAGATTAACACCTAGTTAATCAAACACACGACCAACAAATATGCAATAAATGCATAAATGACTCATGAAAAGATATCACCACGCTTATCATATCCCATTCCATCTTACTCACACCTCGAGAACACATATCTCATCTCATCGCCCACCATGCTTACTAGACTGATCATTTAACTTATGTCTAACTAATAGGTCACAATAGATCCTAAGTCCACAGGATACTCATTTATCACCTTATCACTTCTCCCAACCTACGTGGATAATGGGTCTCCACCTAACAGAAGTCATCGAAGTGTCTCTCTCACACTCCACCTGATCAGGCTCTTTTTTTATATAAAGGATTCTAGACATTTTATCACATCTTCACTCATCATCCAAATATCACACTCCACATCCCCGGTACAAACCACAATGTACCCTTAGGCATCTATATTCCACCTCACCAAAAGACATCCAACATACTGCTAATGCATCCTAACCCACTATGCATGCAAACAATTACACCAAATAATCATATTGCCTCAAATTCGTGTAAGTGCACATATCAAATACACTGAAAATACAACATATCATCATCCAACAAATTAGGCAAATA